CGTCCTAAGTTGCTTTTTTTTTCAGTGCCAGGAATCTGGCAGGCATATTTTTTTTGTCCTTGACATGCTTCACAAATGCAAAAATCATATACAGGTAGTCCTCGACTTACGACGGTCCATTTAATGACCATTCAAAGTTACAACGGCAGTGAAAAAAGTGACTTAGGACTGGTTTTTCACACTTAACGACCGTTGCAACACCCCTATGGTCACATGATCAAAATTCAGGTGGTTCATATTTATGACGGTCGCAGTATCCCGGGGTCACGTGATCCCCTTTTGCGACCTTGTGCCAAGCAAAGTCAACGGGGGAAGCCGGATTCACTTAATGATGGGTTCCTAACTTAACCACCGCAGTGTTTCACTTAACAACGGCGACAAGAAAGGTTGTAAAATGGGTCAAAACTCACTTAAACAAACGTCTCACTTAGTGGTGTTAATGTTGCGCTCAATGGTGCTCATAAGTCGAGGACTACCTGTGCTGGGTGCAGGCTCTGAGCGTGCTAGGTTCAATCCTACCCTTGGAGCAATATCTTCCTTGCAAGTCTAAGTAGAACACAGATAAAAATGCAAATATTTCTATTGTATGGGGGTCACAAATGGACAATAGGATTAAATTCAGGGAGAACTTTGAATCTAAGAGGGACTGAAAAACAGACTCTGCTCCGGAAACAAACAAACATGAGAAGCTGGCTTGAGGTGGGGGAGTCCCCTTAATTAAGCACCAGTGACGGAGCAAATATTTGCTACTCCTAGATGTAGTAACTCTAGTCTGGCAGCCCTGACCTTTGCGGATGGACAATGAAGGGAGCGAAGCCTTATCGGAGAAAGACAGATGGAGCGACACAGCCCGCTGTTCCAACCTTGACTATTTTTCCCCCTGAATATATATAATTTTTCTTAGAAATTTTTAAGGTGGTCAAAGATAACTAAGAGCAACTAAGATGATTAAAGGCCTGGAGACTAAAACATACGAAGAACGGTTGCAGGACTTGGGTTTAGCTAGTCTAAAGGAAAGAAACAGGGGGGACATGATAGCAGTCTTTCAATATCTGAGGGGCTGCCCCAAAGAAGAGGGAGTCAAGCTATTCTCCAAAGCACCTGAAGGCAGGACAAGGAGCAACGGATGGAAACTAAGCAAGGAGAGAAGCAACCTAGAACTAAGGAGAAATTTCTTGACAGTGAGGACAATTAACCAATGAAACAGCTTGCCTCTAGAAGTTGAGGGTGGTTCAACACCAGATGTTTTTAAAAAGAAAAAACATCTATCTATCTATCTATCTATCTATCTATCTATCTATCTATCTATCTATCCATCTATCCATCCATCCATCCATCCATCTATCTATCTATCTATCTATGGATTAATTATCTATCTATTATCTCTATCATCTGTATCTCTCTCTCCATCCTTATCTCTACCTATCATCTCTCTCTCTCATATCTATCTATCTATCTATCTATCTATCTATCTATCTATCTATCTATCTATCTATCTATCTATCTATCTATCTATCTATTATCTATCTATCATCTATATATCTCTCTCCGTTATCTCTATCATATCTCTCTCATAAAATCTATCTATCTATCTATCTATCTATCTATCTATCTATCTATCTATCTGTCTATCTATCTATCTAATCTATCATCTGTCTTTCTATATATCTATTATCTATCATCTGTATCTCTCTCTCCATCTTTATCTCTTTCTATCATCTCTCTCTCATAACATCTATCTATCATCTATCTTTCTATATATCTATTATCTATCTATCATCTGTATCTCTCCATCTTTATCTGTCTATCATCTATCTCTCATAACATCTATCTATCTATCTATCTATCTATCTATCTATCTATCTATCTAATCTAATCTATCAATTGAACTATATCCATCCATATCTATCTATCTATCCATCTATCTATCTATCTATCTATCTATCTATTNGGCTGACTGGCCGGCTGAGGAATTCTGGGAGTTGAAGGCCACAAGCCGGCTGACTGGCCGGCTGAGGAATTCTGGGAGTTGAAGGCCACAAGCCGGCTGACTGGCCGGCTGAGGAATTCTGGGAGTTGAAGGCCACAAGCCGGCTGACTGGCCGGCTGAGGAATTCTGGGAGTTGAAGGCCACAAGCCGGCTGACTGGCTGGCTGAGGAATTCTGGGAGTTGAAGGCCACAAGTCTTAAAGCTGTTCTTCTTAACGTTCTCAGCATCAATACACATAGTCCTCAACTTACGACCGCAACCGTGCCCAAAATTTCCGTTGCTAAGCGAGGCAATAGCGAAGCGAGTGTTTCCTCATTTTACGACCTCTCCTGTCGAAGTTGCGAAGTGAATCCTTGCAGTTGTTCAGTGAGTAAGACGGTTAAGTGAATCCAGCCTCCCCATTGGCTGGGTTTCTCAGAAGCCACTTGGGAAGGTCATAAAGGGCGATCACGTGACCCTGGAATGCTGGCAAACATGCAAAATACATGCAAGTTGACAAGCGCCCCAATTTTTATCACATGACTGTATGGGATGCTATGACGGTCACAAGCCCGAGGACCCGTCCTAAGTTGCTTTTTTTTTCAGTGCCAGGAATCTGGCAGGCATATTTTTTTTGTCCTTGACATGCTTCAC